AGATGCACCTCAGTGTAAAGGCTTTGTGGTCAATCCCTGGTACCAAACAAACATGCTGGCGTGGTGGGGAAGCAGGAGTGAGTAGGGCTGAAGTGGGCAATGTGCCTCGCTGCATCGGGTCCATGCTACTTCCTGTAGCAGAGCTGGGTCTCCCTTCCTAATGGCTGCACAGAGGAAGGCTCAGCTGGGCCTGAAGAAAGGCAGAGTGAGTGTTAAAAAGATATTCCCATCAGGTGTGTTGACACACATCTGTAATCCCAGTACTCAGGAGGCTGAGGCAAGAAGATCACCATGAGTTTAAGGCCAGCCTGGACTACACAGTGAGTTCAGGTCCAGCCTGAACTACATAGCAAGAACTTGTCTCCTAAAAAACATCAGCAAAACAAACACACATTCCTTGAGGTAAGTGAGGGAAAATTGGAAGGAAGAGTCCCATCAAATTCCTGTTTGCATTTTGCATATGGCCCCAGCTCACCTGAGCCATCAGATCATATCCCTTCCCCTCTCTTCCCCTCTGGTAGATACCTAGGTAGACGGGTGTGCAGCAGGGCCTGGGCATTTCCTTTACTCTGTTTTGTTTTTATAGTATGCCTGCTTCATCTTTTCCTGTTGGATTACAGACTCCTGGACAGCACGTATATTTTGCTGTTCTTTGTATCCTCTGTCATAGTGATTGGCACAGACGTTAATGTAAATTAGTGTCTACATGTCTCTCTAAACAAAGGGCACTGGCTCAAAGCTTGTCCTGCATGTTGTGAAGCAGATCTTCATCTTTTCAGGGTGCTGTTGCTCAGTGCTTGCTGTGATCAGGAGGCTGTAACAGTCACAGCAATCCGTGCAGAGGAGCAACTCTGGAGCTTTGCAAGGGGTGGCGCTCCCCTGGGTGCCCTCTTCCTCCATGCCTTGGGGAAGGGGCCCCCTTCTGTGTGTTCTCATGGAGCACTGACAGGGCTATTGGTGATGCAGGTGACGTGATGGAGTCCAACTGTCCTCCTTCCTTATGCTCTTCGAGTCCTTTCTCCACATCCTACCAGGAAAGTTGTACTACACATGGGCCACCTTTAAGTCCAGGTTTCAGTCAAATGACGAATGAATTGTGAGAGCCTTCTGCAGGCATGAGGCTGATTGAGTGTTACAGTCCACCCCTTTGTATAATACTCGTAGAACAGACTTTCATGCATATCCCCCAGATGTCTGCAGAGACATATTTTAAGACTCTTGTGATCCTTCTGGTATGTGGGTTAGTTTTTCCTGGGTCACAGTGTGTACCTGGTACATGGATCGTTAGCCCTAGTTATAGTGGAAGTAGGGGGTGGTTATGATGGATCTTGAGGGGAAGCAACACCCTATTTAAAGAAATTGCTCCAGGTGTCTTTATTCCTGAGCTTTCAAGGAAAGGAAGGCTGGTATCCAGAGGGAAAGCTGCTTTCTGGAGGGGAAAAGTGCAGAGTGACTTTGAGTTTTAAGACTCAGTTTTATCTGGGCCCAGTCAGGTGACCCCATAACATTCTAGATTCTCATTCTTTCCTAGTTAGTGCCCTAACTTTCACATGAAACATTTGATAAGTCTGTGAATTCAACTATTACTGTAATGTAGCTGCTCTTAAAATTTTGAAGCTGGGCATGATGGTGTGATGGGGGTGGGAGGTTCAGGTGAGAAGACTGCTTGAGTGTGGGAGCTTGAGGTCAGCTGGAGTAACCTAGTGAGAGCTCATCTCAAAACATCGAAAGACAGGTGGACAGAGAGACACACATACACATATAAGCTGGGTGAGGTGGGGCACATGTATAGTACCAGCACTCTGGGAGGTTGAGGCAGGAGGATTGCAAAAAAAAAAGGGGGGGATGAAGCTCAGTAGGAAGGCCTTGGGTTCAACTCCCCTATTACAAACAAAACAAAACAACACAACATACATACTGTTATGGCTTGTATCTAGATGTTCTCCCAAAAGACTCATGCCGCCATATTGGAGGTGGCTGAGTCTAGAGTGTGTGATGTTGGGATTAAGAATGTGATGCTGGTACTGATTCTTGGTGTGATGATAGGGGTAAGGGTGCCCCACCCTGGGTGGAATGCTACCTGCCCTAAGGACAGGTACACTGAATAGAACATAAGGGACAGAAAGGGTTGCTGTGCGTGCTGCTTGTTGCTTTGCTGCTTGTTGCTTTACTGCTTGCTACCTTCGGCCTGCTATGAACTGTTTCTCCTCTGCGATGCCCCTGTGCTATGCCACTCTGCCTTGGAGTCAGCCAACTATGAACTAAATCCTCTAAAAACTGTGAGGCAAATACACCTCTCTCCTTTTAACTTTGGGTATTGGGTGCTTTGTCTTAGCAATGAGAAAAGTAACTAACACACACACATACAATAAAATTTTGTACTTGACTTTATTTCTGGTTCTTATCTTTTTATTACTTTCCTATTTAAATTAACTTTATTGGTATATATTTGATATACATAATGATCTCATTCATCATAGGGAATTTGTATCTGTACATGATATATCTTGATTCTTCTTTCTTCCCCATTCCCTGCCCCTCACTTCAGTCCTTCTTCCCCTTATTTACAAAAGCTGTTTCCATTTTTTCCTTCCATTATTTTTTCCTTTTCCATTCCTTTCTTTCCCCCTGCTCCCTCGTTCCTCTTCTCATTTGAACATTTTCTTCCTATTTCACAATATCTAACACACATTTTGGTCTATTATACATTTTGGATTTTTTTCCCAAAAGAATTAAAAGCATCATACCACAGTGATATATGCACACCCATGTTTACAGCAGCACAATTTGTAATAGCCAAGTCTTGGAAACAGCTCAAATGTCCGTAAACTGATGAATGGATAAAGAAGTGTTTTTTATACAATGGAGTACTCCTCTGCCACAAAGAAGGATAAATTTGAGACATTCTTAGGTAAAGGGATGCATTTTGAGGCCACATGCTTAATTGAAATAAATCAGACACACATGTTCAAATACCGCATTGTTTCTGTGGTTTGAGAAACTGAAAGAGTAAATAAGGATCCAAATGTGAAATAACAGGAAATAGGGACAAAATGTGCTTGATTTTCAATCACATCCATGTCTGCAAGCACAGAAAGATTCTTTTATGGTCATCGTAGAAGCCTTTTGGCCTTTGGCTGTGACTGGAGCTGAGACAGGAGATTGTAATATTCTTTTTAAGTGCTCAGGAGCACTGCCAAGGGTCTGTCCCACCATGGTCCCACCAGCCATCCTAGCTGCTGTGAATGTGCCATGTTCACACCATGCCACTGTGAAGCCACAGGAACGGGTGCCAGGGACTGTTCAGAGGAGTTTCTTGTAAAGTTTTCAAAGAAGGTTGCATGAGAGGGCCGCCATCTGCCCTACAGAGATACAGGAGGAGTGGTTCTGGCAGTGTCTGGAAGACAGGGCTAGATGACCTCTAAGAGGTTGTTCCTGAAAGGCTTTTCTTTTTGTACATGTCTTGTTATCCATAAATATCGTAGAAAGAGAAAGCTCAGTGTGATGGAAAGAATGTGCATTCTAGTGGAAGCAGAACTCTATCTGGAACTTAATAGCTGTATGATTTGGTCAAGACACAGTCTGAGCCTCAGCTTCAGTACCTCTCAGGGCTGTCCTGAGAATTCATTAGATGATACATCGCTGAAATCGTACATATGGTATTTAATGTATGTGTGCTTTTCTTTTTTCTTGAGACAGGGTCTTGCTGGCCTTGGACTCCTGGCCTCAAGTGATCCTACTGTCTCAGCCTCTTAAGCAGCTGGGACGAAAGACACTTTCCACTGCACCCAGCTATTCCTTCCATTTTCTACAAGATACATGGCTTATAATTCAACATCTGGGACCAATTAAGATTTTTAAAGTACAGGGTTGAGATGAACTAATTTTCACAGGCTTCCAGTGTGGATTTTCATTTTTACAAACAAGCCACTTGATTGAGATTTGATTAGCTGCTTTGTGGCATAACATGATAAAAAAATGACAAGTATGGAGAAAGCAGAAATAGGAGCCAGATGGCCAACGTCACCTTTGAAATTTGCAACTGCAAGATCATCACTTGACTAAAAGTCTTTCCTTCCAAGACAGCAATCAATCAAACAGCCAATCAAGTGCAAAAACTCAAAAGACCAACAGACGTCGTGAAAGCATATCAGCTTCCGGGAAGGCACTCCAAATGTCACTAGAAAAGCTCCATGACAAACAAGCACTTGATTTTCTTTGACTTTTTAAAGAAATGGGGATCTCACAGAATGAATCCATACAAGTTCTTCTAGCTGTCCTCCCTATCAGGATGATTAAAAGAATTGGAAGTCAATGTTCCAAATGCTGGAAATCACTTTGTATTACTGACAAATAATTTTCTGTGAAGTTCTCTTTCACTTTACGAACAAAGAGAAGCATCTGTGGGCCAAAATCACCCTGAATTTCTAAACTAGTTAGGGATTACTGTACTAATCAATATTGTCCAAGTTAACATTTATTAACAATCACAAATCTTGTTACCTATTACCATTGTACTCGTTAAGAATTCTCGTGAGGGGTGATCTTTACTAACAGAGGGGAACTACAGGAAATTGCCCTTTCGCCTTTCCAATTCTTTTTCTAACCTCTCACATTTCCACTTGTTAGCAGCAAGTACAGAGGTTTAAACAGACATACTGATGCTCCTGGCAGCCTCTCACCAACTGCTGTTATCTTTATATTCCCTTAGTGTGATTATTATTTCTACTCCAAATTCCAAGTCAAAAACCATCAATATTGAGGACCACCCTGTCATAAACAGTCCAATAATACAAATGTTTTAACAAAAATGGGATATTTATATACTGGCTGAGTGGTGATTTAGTTCAACAGAGTCAAAAATATTTTTAGGAGTCGGGGGGCATGGTGGCACATTATCTGTAATCCCAGTACTCTGGGAGGCCGAGGCAGGAGGATCTCAAATTTGAACTCAGCCTGGGCAACTTAGTGAAATCCTGTCTCAAAATAAAAGCTAAAAAAAAGAGCTGGTGATGTAGTTCAGTGTGAAGGCCCTATAGGTTCAGTTGTGGGTACCACAAAAATAAGTATTTTTAGGTATGTACTTAATTCAAGTGTCTGCAAAGTTAAAACCATTATTGTCTGATACTATATACCCATGTTTCACTTTCTTGCAAGTTTGTTATAATTTTCATATTTTATCCACACTAGGGAAACTTTGGTGCACTCTGCTTTAACCAGTGTTTCACCCAGTGAAATGCCCGTTCTGTCTTCATATACAACTCATTTAATAACGCACATGTTAGAGTGCTGAGATGTCCGTATCACCTCTGAAGGACTTCTGTAAGTCTGAGTCACAAGTGTTAAAATGACAGAAGCTGCAGGGCTGGGTGGTAATTGTGGAGACTTTCTGGTTTAAACAGGAATTTGATGTAAAACAAGTCTTAGGAAAGACAGTCACGGCTACTGTGGTGGCACAACAACACCATCAAAGACAGCCTCTTCTCTCCTCTACCATCCTTGGCACGTAAGCGTTTGTTCCCCAGGTCATTGCTTCCTGAGGGAACTATGGTTGCTGCACCCACCCCAGACAGGAAGTTAGGTGCAGGGCAAGGATGAATTCTGGCCACCAAACCTTTCCGGGGAACCCCAGGAGCAACTTCAGATTTCATTTCATTGGCTGGACCTGTGGCAAACGGCTGCAACCTATGATTCCCACAGAATCAGACCTTGCTGGAAAATAATCAGCTTTGAAAACTAGAGATCAAAAGTGCCAGCCCCTAGACGGGTGTGGTGGGGCATTCCTGTACTTTCAGCATTTGGGAGGCTGAGCCAAGAACGCTGGTGTGACTTCGAGGCCAGCCTGGACTGCACAGTGAGTTCAAGGCAAGCCTGAACTGCACAGCAAGATCCTGTCTAACACCTCCTGCCCCAAAGCCAGCCCCAAGCATCCTATCCTTAAAAATTACTTAATTTTTTAAAAGCTAGAATTATGTGAAGAGTCCACTAGGATGACTAAGTAAACAGCCATCCCTTCTGCAGAAAACGTGAGTGTTAGTGAGCTGGGGCTCTTCTATGACTGGAAACAAAGGGGACACCACCCCTATTTCAGAAGAACACTTCAAAGGTCACTGCTGAGACCTATAAAGCATCCTGCCATAAAGACAAGGTGGAGTGGGGTGAGGAGGATATAAGGGATCCCACTTGACATCCTTCTAAAGCCCAACGGGAAAGAGATCAGCTTCCCAAATTCCCTACATTCCCTTGCATTCTCCTGTATGTGCAAGCCAGATACAGGTGTGAAGATGCACACCTCACAGATTTTACTGCCCTGACTCCTACACTCGTGTAAAACATGGAGAGTAAGCCAGTGTGGGGTGTTGAGTCAACCTTGCATTCCTGTGTCCAAGCTATACAACAGAAAAATGAAGCTGTCAACCATGTTTGTGTAAAATGGCTTACAGAGGGCTGGTGATGCAGGCTCATGAAAGAATTCACCAATATACACAGAAAGTAGAAAGACGAGAGTTGATTTAGATCCGGATACCCTGCCAAAAGAGACAGCCAGGTAGAATTTCAAGAAAGGAATCACACAGAAACACACAGAAACTGGGTGCTTTTAGAAATTTTTAAATTCTTTTTGAGACATGCTCTTGCTATATACTTCAGGCCAGCCTTCAACTATGGAACCCTTGCTGCCTGGAATTCAGTGATCCTCCTGCCTCAGCCTCCCAAGTGCTGGGATTAGAGGGGCACGCCCGGCCAGATTGGACATGAGCATATGTAAAAAGGGTCTGGGTAGCAAATGTGAAGATCTAAAGAATGCCTTTCTCTTGGATCATTTAGCACCTTGCAGATGTTCCGGGAGTACCTGTGCTGATTTTAAAATCACGTTTACACTTCCGACCAGGTCACTCTCCTCGGCCCGCACGCTTTCCGCTTTGGACAAAGAGGTGGCAAGGAGGTCTGTGCCGGTCTGTGCGACTTGGGTCCAGGCTGAGCGCATGACTTCAAAGACGCAGCCGCCCGTGGGCCAGGCCACCCTCACCTGAGCTCTCGTCCTCGACGGCTCTCCCGGAGTCTGGCTGTTCAGAGGTTCAATTCTTCTCGTCGCCAGCGGGCGCCGTGTCCTCGGCGGGGGATCCGCGGGGCCGCTGTCCCCTCCTGTGACCAGGGCGTGGGCAAGGCCTTCTCTGCACTGCGCCTGGCAGGCCGCCTACCCTCGGGAAAGTCTTGACTCGGCCCCAGGCAGGGCATTAACTCGGTCGGGGCTGACCCGTGCGATGGAGAGGCCCTTCCCACCCGCACGGAGCTACCCCGGCGCCCCACCGGCTTCCCCAGCCGGGGATCCCTCGGCCCTGAAAGCACCACAGGCGGCGGGGCGAGCCGGTCCCGCACCGCGCAGCCCCGCGCGTGACGCACTTCCGCCCGGAGTTTCCGGTTTGGGGGATCCCGGTCCCACTCGACCAGGATTCCAGGTCGGCGCCCCGGGCGCCGCAA